GCACGTCTGTGTAGGATTGCTCTAGCAAAGTCAGACCTTCTACCTAAGGGTTTCAGAGCATGCACGACCGTGCAGAGTTATGCACGTCCGTGCAAGATACCAAGCGCATCCGTGCAGAAGTCTGCACATCCGTGCAGAATGCCCAGCCCAAATCAGTAGCTACTGATTCTGCAATACAAGGCCTGCACGGCCGTGCTTAAGTTGGCACGTCCGTGCAGAAGAGGCTTCACGTCCGTGCCATACTTGGCACGTCCGTGCAGGATTTCCAACCCAAAACAGTAGCTACTGATCCTGATTCTCTTGTTCTGCACGGTCGTGCATAGGGTGGCACGTCCGTGCAGACCTACATTCGAGCCCGATTCTTTTTTTCTCCGTCCTTTTTATTTGGGGGTCTTATAAATACCCCCTTGATCTCATTTGTATGGCATCCAAGTTTTTAGAGCTTTTCTCTTAGTTTGTAATCTTAGAACATCAATACTCTCAAATCATTAGTTAGATTTTAATTATTAGCTTGGAAAAATTCAATTTCAATCATTGTAGAAGACAAGATTCCACCATTGTTGTTCAAGTTTGAAGCTTCTAGTAACTATTTCTTACTCTTCTCTTCTATTTTTCTCTACTTTGCTGTTAGTTTAAATCTATTCATGTGCTTGAAATCTTTAATTGCTTTAACTTCCATGGATTGTGAGTAGTCTAATTTTCTAGGGTTTGGGTAAAACCCTCAATGTAGTCACTAATTACTTGTTGCATGTAATAATTTGGTAATTGTGGGGTGTTAATTAATTGAGCTTAAGTGGTTTCATTGTTAGTTCTTGCATTTGGCCAATGTTAGGACTATTTATCCAAGCTTTCTCAACGAAGGATCGAGAGATGAAATTGAGTTAGCTTCCTTATGCTTAATTGACTTGAAATGCCATGAGAATAGTAATTTCCAGTCAAGGGAATGTTTATGTCATCGTGATTATGCTTTAACACTTGCTTTATGCTTTGTAACCACGAGAGTAGGTTGTATTCATGATTCAAGTAATCCCTCTAGCTTGAGAGAGTAGTTGGGTGCCTTAGATGACTACCCCTATTTCATCCCCTTAATTCACCTTGATTGTTGCATGCTAATTGTGATTTGTGATAAAGTTGAGTGGTATAACCCGAGCCCTAGATTCCTCTTAATATTGTTAACCTCCCCTTAGCTTTTAGTTGATTTGAACTAGTAGAAGTTACTTAAAACCAAACCAATTTCGACTTCCTTTAGCTTATTTAAACGGTAGTATCTTGGTGGTTGATTCAACGTCTCTCTTGGGTCCGACCCTTTCTTACCCTTGCTATTAGTTAGTGAGACCAAGATAGGATGTATCTTTGGTAGGCTTGACGACGACCTATCACCTACCCTAGCCTAACCTTAACTATTTTCTTCTTTCACTGTTTATGTCATAAATTTTAATTTCGTTTTGGTATTTTATTTGGTTTGTAATTATTAAAACAGGGTGATCTTTTGGTTTTTAATGTCAATTTGGAACTTTGCCTATACATGTGTGCTTTGTGTGATATGAAAGTATATGCAGGATTGTGTGAAGGGACAAGCTAAAGGGAGCTAGTCAAAGCTTCCTTCAGTTTCCCACACTCGATGAATTGCTTGTGGCGCTGTGTTTAGATGTTTAATAACTTAGCTTGCAAGACTTTCTGATAATGCCAAAAGGGGGAAAATAAGAAGCAAACTTGAAAGTGGAAGTTGTTCTGGGTTCCAGTTGATAAAGTATCAAAGATTTCTTTGATATTGTGTATATAATAGCTTAGTTTTGTCTTGTTCTGTTTTGTTTGCTTTTTGTTTACTTTTGCTAAGTTTTTTTCTTCTTCTTTTTTTTTTCTGCTTTAGTTTCTGTATGTGTTTTATTTTCTTGTTAAAAAAATACAAAAATACGTCCTTCTATTCTATTTAACTTTCCTGCTCGAAGTTTACTAAGTTTGTCATCATCATCAAAAAGAGGGAAATTGTTGAAATTTAAGAGTTTTGATGATGATGATGATAAATAAAAGCAAACTTTAACTAATGCAATTTCTCTAAGTGTTTAATTAGAATAGGTAAAGTTGACTTTGGAAGTGGAAGAGTAACCTATCTATGAAGACGTAGGGAGATCTAAAGGAAAGTTAAAGAAAGTAGAAGAAGAGTTCCTCACTGGAACTAGATGTGATCCCTAACAGGAACACTGAGAGAAGTTCACTAATAGGAGCTTGACAGTAAGCTGAGAAGATTAGTTTGGATAAAGACAGCAAGTTCCACAAGAACTTGGACTGCAAGTTCCAGCACGGAGCTGGAGAGTTGAAGACAACAAGAGCTTAGTTCCGGTCTGCGTGAAGCCCAAGTATCCTTACAATACAGTGATTGATGAGATAATCTAGCTATAGAACAAAAGTATTTTGGTTAAGTTCATTTTACTAAAGATTGTTGTAAATATGTTAGGTAAGATTATGCATGAAATCTATTAGAAGCGTGGCAAAGCTTGCTTGGCAAGCTATTAAATATGGAAAGTTTATAAAAGATAAGTTTTTATTTTATGAAAAGATTTTTGAGAGATTTTATCTTATTAAAATCCGATTTTAAAAATTATTATTCTTTTCTAAAGTTATATCTTTGTTAAGCTAAGTTTTCCAAAATATTTTCTTCTAAAAGATTTACTTAAGTGTTGTAATTATGAAAACGGTAGTTTATTAATTTCTATCTTTTGAAAACCCTACTTTACATACGAGTACAACTTGTATATAAAGTAGAATTCATAATTTGCATAATTTGTGAGTTTATGCGTGAAGAATCTGAAGAGTGCGAAAAGTGTAAGTTTGCCAAGTCTAAACTTTGTCATATTAGTTTCGGATTTCATGTGTAGCATTCCAATCACATATTAGAGTCAAGAGTTTGTATTGTTTTGGTACTGGGGTGAGTGTTTAGTATATTTGCATACAGATTGCAGGCTTCAAGGTTGAAGCTGAGTGTGTGGGTAATCACACGAGTGCTAAGTGAATCTAAGTCGGGGACTTAGGTTGGGTAGAATAGGGTTCTACTGTGTAGCAAGTTCAGTCTTGAACTTATGAGTAAAGGTCTGTGCTTAATAGGTTGTAACTAGGTATGTTGCCCTATTATAGTGGATTGGTTTGTTTGAAATCCCTTGGAGGGTCGAGGTTTTACTTCCAATTAGGCCCTGGAAGGTTTCCTCGTAAAATCCTGTGTGCATTGCAAGTTTCTTTATTATTTTGTTTTAATTCTGCAAAAGTAGTCACTAGGAACTCACTTACAATTCACCCCCCCCCTTTGTAGAGTCCGTCTCAACTAACAAATAGGCTAAACTTAAGGCCAATAAGGGTTTTCAAATGCAAGTAAAAATTCACAAACACTAAACTCTACTCCCTTTGACCCACTCTGATTGCCCTGTATTTGATTTTTGGTTGTCCTAATGAGTTTGCCTCATACTCCTTTTTCCCAAAACAAAATATGACACATGTGCAATTAGGAAAAGAAAAAGGCAATAAGCCCACGTGCCTAAACATCTAATTAAGTTTATAAAAGTGAAGTAACACTATGAGGGAATTTGAGAGAGACAGAGAGAGTAATAAGTTATTTAAGAGCTGAAAATTCATAGTACTTATAAATAAATTTTGAATAAAGAAATTACACCCAAGAGTATGTTTGAATTAAAGAAGGAATAACAATAAAGTGACAACAAATGTCCTTTTAGGTTTTTCCATGGGAGGGTGTTTTCCCTAGTTTTTGCTGGGTTTTTCTAGTTTTTTTTAGGGTTTTCCTTCATTCTTCTCATATTCTCCCTTTTTCCTCCTTCATCTTTCTCTCCTTGATCTCCATTGTGATTATTGGTAGGGGCTACTACTGGTTCCTTGATCAGTGGTAAGCCCCAAAATCCTCTTTTTAATCGCTTATAATAATAGATCCCATCCTTAAGATGGTCTTGATCGGTGTAGATGATTTCTTTTTTGTCATCGGAAGTTCTAATTTTGTGGTGGTGGTTCGTGCGGCGTTGAATTAGTTGTCAGATCAACGACTACAATTAAATTGAATCAGGTTTTGTTCAATTCAAAAACTATCAAAAATCGCAAGGCCCCCTTGTAGAAGAAGGTTGTAGAGGACAACGATTCAAGAGACGAGGGTATTCATCAATGTCAAATCTCACTCGCGATCGTAGTTCTACAGAATTAAAATTGTTATTTGATTCAATTTTCATTGTATTTATCGTTTTTGATCTCTTTTGCAGATGCCGTATGACTTCTTATTAATGAATTGATCTTCCCTTAAAAAAAAAAATAAAAATAAATTGACAACAAATGTCGAACCAATTTGGAACGAAGGAAGTAGATCATAAAAATAGTAACTTAGTAATCATAAACTAATAGCAAAATTTGGCTAACTTCTGTAAATTTATTTTATTAGTGAGTAGTTATAATTTAGGTGGTATGAAATTCTTTTATGATTTTGCTAATTAACTATGCTATATATATTACTGTATTATTATTATCAACAATTAACTTTTTTTTATTAGTACCATTACATGCTGAAATATGATCATAATATCACACTCCATACCATATAAGATAGGCTTATTAAAATACATTTTTGTAAATTCGTCAAGAACAATCCCAAACTTCATATCATGGCTCTATTCAATGTCTTGTAAGAAAGGAAAGGAAAGGCAAGATTCAAATATCATGCAAAATTAAAGGTTGATCAAATTAATAATCAAAGTACCCTCAAACACAAGCAATTAGTACATTAAATAAAAATTATTTAATCCCTAAAAAGTCTCAAACTCCATACTTCATAATTTTGGATAATGAATCATCTAAAAACGGTGATTATTTAGCTCAATTTAAAAATTGGACCCCACCATGTGCAACGGTCAATACATGCCAAAAAATTCAAAAAGTGGCCCTTTTTCCCTCAAGAATGTCTCATTCCCATTTCTCAACCAATCAAAAACCTTACATGTGTGCAATGCATTTCGCACGTGCCACCTCCCCTCTTCAAAATTTTTTGAATCCTCTTTTCTTCTCTCTCCTCCACAAAAGTGAGAGTGAGACTGAAATCTAAACAATCAATTGGAATTTGGAGTAAATGCTAAGAACTTTCATGGTTTTATTGATCTTCTCTCTCTAGAAAATTTAAGAAGAGAGGAATTTCTTCAGTTGTTTTATACTCTGTTGAAAAGAAGATGAACAACAATAGGCAAACGCAGAAATCTGGGGTTTCAACTGCTCATCATCAGAGACAACATTCTGATAATTTTTTGGATAATGGGTTTTGGGCTCAGTCTAATGGGGCTCAACAGGTTAGATCTGATTCCTACATTTTGCAAATTTGATATTTTCTTCAGTTTGAATGTTGTGGATGCTGATTATTTGAGTTGATTCTTTTTTCTTCAAATTTAAGTGATTTTGAGTTGATTTAAGTTTCTGGGTACTGGGTATTTGTGGTTATTTTGAGAAGAATTTATCTGGGTGTTTGATTTTTTGACTAATTGTAAATAAGTAGAATTTGGGGTTTATGATTGTTTGAGTTAGTGCAATGCTATATTTCTAAATTTAATTGATTTTGACTTAATTTAAATTTCTGGGCACTGAATTGTTTGGCTTATTTTGAGTCAAATTTATCTGGGTGTTGGAACTTTTGACTGAATAAAAATCAGTTGAAACTAGGTTTTTATGGCTTCAAATATTCTGGGGTAATGTGAATTTTAGGGAAAGTTTAGGGATTTTAGTTTAATGATTAGGAATGGTGAATGCAGGACTATGGGTATTATGGGCAAGGAACAAGGGGAAGTAGGAATGGGCAGAGAGGTTATGGTAACGGCAGTGGGGACTTTTATGCGGAGCCATCAACACCGCCGGTGAATTCGTCCCGGATTTCGAGGAAGAACAGTGAGGATCAGATTTCGCCAAACGAGTTCAGCCCTGGTCTTTTAGATCTTCACTCTCATGATACTGAACTCCTGACTGAGGTGGGTGTGTAATTAATCTCCCTGTCTCTCTCAATGCCGTTTTTGGTTTCGTGTTGGATTGCATTCTACATTTATAAATTACATTGTTTGGTTAAAGAGTGGAATTCAAGAAACCGGGATGTTGCTTTGAGAGATGAGGATGGTGTGTTGTAAGGAGCTATCACATTTCATAACACCAGCTAGTTGTTTTCCAATGCACACTATATATTATTGATTGACATTGATTATTATTTAAGAGGATTATCTTATAATCAGTTTTAACACTGTTTATTTTAAAATTTGAACTCTCTCTTAAATAGGTCAGCAGTTTTAATTTGGAAGGTTCATTGGGAGACAATTGTGGAGTTTCTGTAGACTAATTTGCAGTGCATGTGTTTATTGGTAATCTTTCAGGTCTGCCACCTTGCTTCAGTAGGTGAATAGAGGTCTTTCTTGGTAGTTGGGTGGGTTTGTTAGGGTATTGTAACATGGTAGGGCATTAGTTATGACGTGATTTATCAAATTTGTTTTTCAAAAGGTCATTCTGAAACCAGGAGCTTTCCTGGTTCTACAGTCCTTGTTGTCTGAACTCTGCAATTAGGGATAGCAGATCTTTCAAAAACGGCATATAGAAAGACTACGAAGTCCATCAATAGCTGAAATTGTTGTCATTCCAGTTGGTTTCAAGGTTTTGATGCACCCATGCTTGTACAATATGGTTTGTTGGCAGTTGGCTTGCTGAGAGCCTGAGATGTGTTGGTAGTTTGGAAAAACTATTTATGATAACATGCACATTTCTTTTTCATGTTGCTTCCAGTAAATGCTTTATTGTCTGTAATTTTGCAGATGCCTGCTCCTGGTCAGTACAATGGTTCTATGTATCAATCCTTCCAGAGCCGAAGTTTTGACGACTTTGAAGTTCCCACAAGCAAGCAGAATGGGACTAATAGGGCTCGTGGTATGCAAGAGAACAGTCTTTTGAAAAGTGTTGCTGTGGAAAAGGATAGAAGTAATTCTGTTGCAAAAATCAAAGTTGTGGTATACCTTTTTCACCCAACCTAAGTATAAAGATCTCGCATTTCTGTTCAATTTTTTGCTCTGCTTGTTTCAAAAATTTGTGTTGTTACCCAGTCGCAGGCTAAGCTATTGATGTAATCAGTAGATCTATCCTCTTCTGGTGATCCATTACCAGTTTCAATTCCTCAATAGCTTGGGAGACAGGTTTTATAACAAATTGGAAACAGACATTAGAAAAATTTCTGCTTCTCAATGTGTATTGGTTGCAAATCCCAGAAGGACTGAAGTTTCTGGACAATTGACTAATAATATACTTGTAGTATGGCTGTATGGTGGCCAACTAGCCATTACCATTAAACTAGTGAGTATAATACATGCTTAACAACTTCTGAAATTGATTGGCTGTTAACTTGATACATATTCATATTCTGTTGTTAGAAGACACGATCAGAAATCAAATTTGCAGCATACTTTTTGTTTTCCGGTGTTGGGCTTGTAGAGATGCATGTCTTTTTGTGTTGTTACTGTATGTGTCTTTTTTTTTTTTTTTTTTTTTTTTTTTATTGTTGTTGTTGTTGTTTTTATGTTTGGGTGGACTCATTTTTCTTTTGCTTTTCCTTATGCATGTGTAGGTTCGGAAGAGGCCTCTTAACAAAAAGGAGCTGACTAAAAATGAGGAAGATATTATTGATACACTTGGCAACTCTTTGACGGTTCATGAAACTAAATTGAAGGTGAGTGTTGCTGATAAATTACAATCTTTAATTGCATCCTTCTTTTTATTTGTTTTCTGTGAAGTATTAAGTAAAGGGTGTAATTGTGTAAATGCTATGCAATCTGGCCCTTTTTATGTTTTTGGCTGGAAAAAGTGATCTTTCAGTCACATAATCATCTAATGCTGAAATGGTAAAATTTACGAATCTATAGTTCTAATTTTTCTCTTGTTGTTTACCCTCCACCATTCTGTCCCTGTCCTTTTGAATATTAAGCAGGCTAGATGAGCATTTTTTTTCCTTTAAAGTGAAATGATGAGTATATTGATCTATGATTGCTCTATTTTTTTTCTTTTGCTGTTTGCCCTCTGCTATTCTGACTCTCTCAATCACTTTTACTTTGATTGTGATAAATACTAAGCAGTCAAGATGAGCATTCTCTTCTGTTAGTGAAATGAGGATATTATCGCACACAATTCATGCATTTATTCTAGTAAACTTCAAGCATAACAAAAACAAAGGGCATAACCCACTTGATGTTGATTTGCTTTTCGCTTTTTAAAATTATGCATTTTCAAAGACAACTCATCATGCTTCTACTTGTGTTGCTTGCTTGCTTCCTTATATTAATAAATATTGCAACCTCTTGAAGTTTCTTAATGACTTGTGCTCTGTACATTTGACATGTTTGTAGGTTTGTATGCAATTGCTAAATCTGATGTATCAAATGCAAAATTAAACTGTTTTGACAGGTTGACCTGACAGAATATGTGGACAAGCATAATTTTGTCTTTGATGCTGTGCTGGATGAGGAAGTTTCAAATGATGAGGTGAGGCAACGCAAGTGAGATGATAGATTATTAATTTATTATATTATACTTGATGGTGGCTTTCATACCTTTTATAAATCAATCCTATATTTCCTTTTGCTCCAGGTCTACCATGAAACTGTGGAGCCCATTGTGCCTATTATTTTCCAACGCACGAAAGCCACGTGCTTTGCATATGGACAAACAGGTGAGTCGGTGGTTCCTAGTTTAGGATTGACAGTTTGTCTACTTTGTCATACTTGTAAATTCTTGAATGCCAGCTTTATGTTGGTATAATTCGACGCTTAAAAATGTTTATTCGATTGTTTCAAATGATTTATTTTTACGTTTTATTATGCTGGAATCAATTTAGGCATAGATTTGGTTCTTATGCTCAATAGCTCACTGTGATGAACATGTGATATTCAGTAGACACATTGTTCAGTTCCTGCTTAGATGAGAGCTTGAGTCTTAAGACCAGCTCTAGAGCTTGAATAGTGATATAGAAGTATAAGGAAATATCGGAGGAATGTAATATTGTTAAAGGATAGAGACTTTATATCTTGAGTCTTAATGGATAGAGACTTTATATCTTGAATAGTGATGTAGTAGTATAAGGAAATATCGGAGGAATAGAGACTTTATATAGCTTTTCATTCTCCACCTTGTCTTGAGTTGATAGGATACTGGGTTTATATCTGCAATATGTTCATTTGTAGACTTTGTCTCTGAAGTTGCTTGTTTATGTTTAACTGGTGGTTCAAGGGCTGAACATTCATGTGGATTGTAATGCTGCATTGATACGAGGGTGCTCAACATGAATGTAATCATTCTATGTGCTGCTTTTGCATTCCAGGAAGTGGAAAGACTTATACAATGAAGCCTTTGCCCCTTAGAGCTTCCAGAGATATTCTACGGCTAATGCATCACACTTACAGAGATCAGGGTTTTCATTTGTTTGTCAGCTTCTTTGAGATATATGGTGGAAAGCTTTTCGATCTCCTTAATGAGCGAAAGTGAGTTGCTTCATGTTTTCATTTAAGTTTTGCACTTCTTGCATGACCTGCTTAGTTGCTTAAATCTGTTCTAAAGCTAAAGCTCGAATTTGTAGAAAACTCTTCATTAGAGAAGATGGAAAACAACAAGTGTGCATAGTAGGATTGCAAGAATATAAAGTGTCAGATGTGGAGATGATCAAAGAGCTCATAGAGATAGGAAGTTCCACCAGAAGTACTGGGACTACTGGTGCTAACGAAGAGTCCTCCCGCTCACATGCTATACTTCAGCTTGCTATCAAAAGATCAGTTGATAAAGCCGATACGAAGCCTCCACGACTTGTTGGAAAACTTTCTTTCATTGATCTTGCCGGGAGTGAACGAGGTGCAGATACCACAGACAATGATAAACAGACCAGGTAATGCATCTTACCTCTTATTGGTTAGTTAATATTCTTCCCCTGGTATAACTCAAACAGATACCCACTGTTAATCATTGCTACTCTGTATCTCGTTTGTGTGTATTTGTCAGTACTTTTGAAAGCATGTCAGATTTCCGATTTACTTGACCGTATGTCCTGTCTCTAGGTATATATGTGGTTGAATTCTAAAGTATGTCAGATTTTTTGTTTACTTGAACTAATTTTTAGTTCTAGTTCAGACCCAAATTGTGCTTCCTTTCAGACTTTGGTGCATTGCATCCATATCTTAGAAAAAAAGCTAGGTCTTACTGGTAACTTGGAATTATGTGACTTAATAACTCTAGAGGGACTGATCTGAACTGGTTAACTTTAGATTTTTGGCCCAAGTTAAATGATGGAAGGGTGTAGGCCCCATTGCATTTTAAATTATTAGTGTAGTATCCTATTGTTGTGTCTTGCAAGCATAACATTCTTTCTAGATTTTTGGATTCAAAGCCTAAAAGGTCCTATCATGGTTGGTGGTAACTTTTCGAGTAAATTTAGGGCATCTGGAGTAGTATTATATTAAAACTTGATTCTTTTTCCTCCATAACCGTTGTGAGCTGTCAATATAATAGAGTGTGTTTAAGTGGCTAAGCGGCACCAACTCTATATCATTATATTCTATACCACTTGATTGATTGGTTGGTTTTTGAGTCTAGTCTAATATGAAGCACAACTGTGAATGTGATATGGTTTTGTACTGTCAGACAACTACTTCAAATGTGCAGTTTTGATGTCTCAAGTTTATATTTAAAACCATTGGTGACTATGCCCATTCTTAATCTTATTCTGTTGTATTTCATGCAGTTGTTCTTTTTGTTCTCCATCTTCTTTGCTTGTCTCAGTCTTTTCACCCATTCAATTTTACAGGATAGAAGGAGCTGAAATCAATAAAAGCTTGCTTGCCTTGAAGGAATGCATCAGAGCTCTTGACAACGACCAAAATCATATACCTTTCAGAGGGAGTAAATTGACTGAGGTGTTGAGGGACTCTTTTGTTGGAAATTCAAGGACTGTAATGATTTCTTGCATTTCCCCAAGTTCCGGCTCATGTGAACACACTCTTAACACACTGAGATATGCTGACAGGTATTTTTTTTTTCTACAGATAGAATTGCACCCACTAGCATGACTCTCTTCCAATTTTAAATAAACTGGTTTATTTAATTGAATGATAAATATCATTTTATATAAATGGTAGATATTATTATAATCAAAAAATAATTAATGTAATATAATTGTAAATATAGATAATTTACTTTTTCTCAGCAATATATTTTTTTTGTAGCTCCATCAACCCCATAAAATCTTGCCCTTTCTTTTGGGCAAGTAGAGGCAAGTTTGCCAACACAGAACTTTGACTGTCATTATTTCTAATTATTCATTAGCAAAAATTATAACAAGTTGATATCTGAAAATATATGTCGAGACTGTATAACAACATTAATTTATACTCCGTATATTATTAAGAAATAAGGTCAAAGTAAAAGTATATAATAGTGCAAATAGTCAAAAAGGAGTAATTTTCTTGGGATGCAGGGAATAATTGTTTTGATTTGTTTAATACGGAGTATTACTGTCATCCCACGGTAGTCTTCCCATTTATTTTGGGCACATATGTCTGGGAGAGCTCTTAAGATGGAGCATATGTTACAGTATTAACTACTTGTATAAAGAACGAGTAAAATCTAAGCTAGTGGAAGTTGTTTATTTATTTTTCTTATTTTACTGGTGGAGAGGAAAGACCGAAAGAGAAAGAAGAATAAAAAGTGAAGGGAGGGAAGGGTTAATGGAATAAGGGAATGGAAAATTCGGAATATTATTTGGGGGGTGGTGGGAGTACTTTAAAAGATTAACTATCCTTAGTATCCTAGGAAGTTAAAGAAAATGTCCCCTGACTGGACTTGATGTGATTGCACAATTATGTTTTTCACTACAAGAGTATAACTGGAATTTCTAAAGTTTGACTCCAGCCACAGGAGTTTCAGTTTAAAAAAATAGAGATAATGTGTATCTGACTCTCTACAGGGTGAAGGGCCTTTCTAAAGGAAACAATGCAAAGAAGGACAATTCACTTCCCACTGCAAATTTAAGGGAATCGACAAATTTTCCATTATCTTCTGGTTTACAAGCTGTGCTCAAGGATGACAGCAATGATGCTTGGCCCCAACCCGTTGAGAGAGGTGAGTATGATATTCCTGAAGAAACGTATGATCATCCAAAAGTTCCCATGAAGAAAAATGGAAAGCTTGACTCGAGCACCTATGCTTCTGAGGATAAAATAAGAACTGTCAAGGGTCAGGCAAAATGGAAAGACATGCCCAAAGTCGAGACAAAGAATCTTGATTCAGATGATGATGACTTGAGTGACCTCTTGCAGGTACAATTAATACTGTTGATGATGGCTTTAATCTGAAGTGAAGAATCTTTTCTTGACCAGAATATGATTTGAATTTTTACAGGAAGAAGAGGATCTTGTCAATGCTCACCGAAGACAAGTTGAGGAGACTATGGATATTGTAAGAGAGGTATGTAAATGAGCAATGTCATGAACTAAATTGAACCTCTTAACATATTTTGTTATGTTGTTTATGTGCGCTCAAGCCTGAGCCTCATTGCAATATATCTTCTCTACTTTAGATAAAATCCTGAATTCTTCAATATATATATATATATATATATATATATATATATATATATATATATATAATATATATATATATATATATATATATATATTTTTTTTTTTATAATTGCAGGAGATGAATTTGTTGGTTGAAGCAGACCAACCAGGGAATCAGCTTGATGATTACATTACTAGACTCAATGGCATTTTATCTCAGAAGGCTGCTGGCATTATGCAGCTGCAGACACGCTTAGCTAATTTCCAAAAACGATTGAAGGAGAATGATATTTTAATGTCATCAACAGCTTATTGATCTCATTGTGTCTATTGAAGAAGCTGGAATTCATAGAGCAGCTTTCTGCATAGTGCAACTCCATCAATTGTTTATCGACAAGCTTCTGTTGCAGGATTGTTGTGCCTTGTTGATATGCCTGCTGCCTGCAGGAATTTTTTTTTAACCCTCCTGCTCATATGTTGCAGCTGCTACCAAGTTGGAAATGATTTTCGCTTTTGGAGAAAGCCTTGCTCATTCTCTTCGTGTTATTGTTGCGTATTATGGCCAGGAGAGGATATGTTACATATAAACATACTATGAGAAAGAGGTGTTTCATCATAGTTAAGCATGCATTTGTAAAGATTTCTAGTAAAATAACCTCCCTTGACCACTGTATATTATTTGTCAGCCGAACTTTTTTGCATGATATCTAAGATAGCTGATGATGGTATAGCAAGATGGTATAGCAAGATAACTTTTAGCCTTGGCCATTGGTGATATGGTTCGATGTGCATCATTTCGTACATCACTTTATAATATGAAGTGCTTGTTCTCTGTGTTTAACTGAAATTGCTAAGTGGACTGCACTCTTTAATTAACTAATGCTTTTTACAATCCCTACTTCGAATTATATAGGAATGTCCCAAGTAATTGTTCTTGCAAAATCCATTGCCCTTGGCAAGCCTCTCTGAACGGACAGGATAACCTTCTCTTTCAATGACTTCTCACAAAAACTCTTCTGCAGATAACTCTGTTTTGAAACCAAATTTTATGCATCAGTAATTCATTCAACCAGTGTTTTTTCTGCTATATTTAGCACCTGAAGACAATTTGGACAACAATTTCCACAGGCTATTCCTTCATCTTTCCTCTTATCCTAGAAGTCCTACAGTCACTCAATCAGTCCACCTGCCAAAGAATATCATGGCATTGCCTGCCTGTATGTAATGGTTACAATACCTCCGCATGGATCCAATAGGCCTATATTGTTGCTTTCCACCATGTCACCCAAGACCTTCAGTGTATACTGTCGTCACAATTATTTCAATCTCAGTCTCTTAATTTTGTCATCATAGTAATGTATTTCAAGCTGAAGTTCAATATAAAGCTCTTAAAACGGACACCAATCCTCAGGGGTCGGGCTAGGTTTAGAAATAGAACTCCAGCCACTCGTTCCTCTGTCCAGGTCTACAATTAAGCCATGGTCGGATGGTCCTAGATTGGCATCCCTTTCTAAGCCATCCATACATAGCTATTCCTAAAATTTTTAAGTAGCAGCTCCAATTTTAATATTCCCTTGTGTTCAAATTTCAACTATTATTCCTATTGCAAAACTTTACTTAATTTGTACTCACTATCCTATGAGGCAGTAACTTCTTCCCTTCCCTCCCCTCCCCTCCTTTGACAGTTGCAAGTACTAAACTTACTATCTTTCTGACAATTACTCGAAATAGGTATAACTCTACCTTCTCAACTCAGACCTAACACTAAATATATCTTCATCCCTTTTTCACTCCTTACTTTGACAATTTTGGGGAATATTTAAGCCTTAGCATCTCATTTCGCCATGAGTAGATTTACTCATCTCACTGCCCCTCCTCATATACCCAGATGTCACTATGAAAACATCGTTAAAACTGTCATCCAACTCTGATGCCACCATATGTGAATAGAATGTTCTGATTTCAATTAATAAGAAACAGCAAACTTTCATTTTCTGAAAGTTGCAGAATATGAGGTTCTTTCTTCCCTTCACTATATTTGGACAACCAAAACTTATAATACACGGAGTTAATGCACTAAAAAAATCATGAGTTCAGCTTTGTGCCTTTGAAATGACATAGTTAAAGTTTCGCGAAAGGATTACACCTTTGTCTTACCAATTTTATATCCTGATGTCAAACCCCTTTCTGACCCTTCTAAGAATTATTGGTCTAAGATTTGCAAACCAGCAAACAAAGAAATTTGTTATCTAACTCTTACGTGTAAAGTAGAGAAACCAGCTAGTGATTTGAACTTACTTTTCTGCTTATCTAAAATCCAGGAGAGCTCACAGCATTGAAGAGATTCACTACACATTCTTCATTAGTAAGCTCTACAATTATACGGAGCTGGTTCGTCTGATCCTTCCGTGTCTATTCAGTTCATTAACTTCTGAAGTCAGGCTCATTTCTGCTGCAGATAGTTTGACTGTCTGGTATTTATGCCTTATGATTGTAGCTAAGTTTCCATGCTTATTAAACGATCCATATTTGATCAATGTATCATCAGCTGTGTATTTTGAAGGATTGAGACTTTCTTTTTACAGCAAAAAAACAGCTTTTTGTTCATTTTCAGCAAGAAATTTTAAGATTTAACAAAAAGCTTTGTTTTGATTACAAATTTTTTTGTTTGTAGATTTTTCATATGTTTTCCTGCAACACTGAGCATCTTATTATCTTATTACATAATAAAAGTAGTACAATAACACACACTGGACAATTAAGCACACAAAACTCAAGGGGTTGAAATGGAAGGAAAAAAGAGGAAATAGACAATCAGAAGAATATAATGAGACCTTGAGATGAAGACCATATATAGGTAGTAACTGTTGATAAGTATATTAGGTGACTCGTACTTCGTAGCTTTGTCCGCCCGATCGGGCGGACATTGCCCGGTCTGACCGGGCGGAAGAAGAAGAGGTGCCTGGCAAATTCGTTGAAGAAGCTGCTCTCGCGCCCGACCGGGCGAGCCTTCGCCCGACCGGGCGAGCCTTCGCCCGATCGGGCAGACCTTGCCCGGTCTGACCGGGCGGTGGGGGTTGGATACGTTGAAGCATTCGTATGGAGTTTTCTTCTCGCGCCCGATCGGGCAGACCTTGCCCGGTCTGACCGGGCGGAGAAGGAAAAATACGGAACGCGGATTTTGCGGTTTTAGGTTATCTTATTTTATTATCTTTTTGCCCAAGTATCTTTTAATTAGGGATTAATATAAAACCTCCCTAATATCAGTATTAGGGTTAAGAGAGACAGAGTGAAAGCCGTTCTTGAGAAATACAAGAATCATCTTTGTAATCTTTGCAGTTTATAGTGAAATCATTCGATCTCGGTGCCCGTGGACGTAGCTATCACATCGATAGTGAACCACGTAAATTCTTGGTGTTGTTCTTATTGTTTGCATTGAATTTCTTTATTGTTTTCTTGTTTGTTTTCGACCTTTGCTTCCGCTGTCGCACAACAATTGGTATCAAGAGCTCAGGTTCAATCCTTGGAGAGTTTCTTGAAGATAACAATGGCAGGAGATTCAACAATAAGAATTGAGAAGTTTACCGGGAAAAATAGTTTCGGGCTATGGCAAATTAAGATGAAGGCTCTGTTAAAACAACAGCAGATATGGCGTCCGTTGGCTCCAAAGAGTACTACTTCGGAGTCAGGAGACGGACCGACTGACTCGCAGTTAGAAGTTATGGAAGAGAAGGCACACTCTACCATATTACTTAGTCTTGATGATCAAATCATCACGGAGGTTGCTGATCAGGAAACGGCGGCTGGATTGTGGCTGAAGCTGGAGTCATTGTATATGACTAAGTCGTTGACCAACAAATTATTACTGAAACAGCGGTTGTTTAGCCTCCGGATGCAGTCAGGTACTTCCTTACGGGAACATCTAGAAAAACTTAACTCTATTTTGCTTGATTTACGTAATTTAGATGTTAAAATTGATGATGAGGATGCTGCGTTGATTTTACTTGTATCTCTACCGTCTAGCTTTGAGAATTTTGTAGAGTCTTTTGTTGTTGGTAAGGATTCTATAACCTTAGAAGAAGTGAAGGCAGCACTTCATACTAGGGAACTCAGAATGAAAGCTACGAGTGATAATGGGGATAATGGTAGTGGGTTATTTGTTAAGTCCGGAAAGTCTAAAAAGAATAAGGGGTTTAACAAGGGGAACAATGCTGGGTCGGGTGCTGGAAACGGCAAGGATGGATCTAGTAAAACTACTACTAAAACATGTTATTACTGTAAAGAACCGGGTCACTTTAGGAATAATTGTCCGGTGAGGAAAAACAAGTCCCAGGCTGCTGTAGTTGAAGAGAAACCGAATGAGAGCTATAATTCAGAGGAAGATTTAGCATTAGTCAGTTCTGCTAGGTCTGATGATTTATCTGATAACTGGGTTCTAGATTCGGGGTGTTCGTTCCATATGTGTCCACGTCGAGATTGGTTTGATACATATGAACCTCGCAATGGGGGTATGGTTATAGTCGGTAACAATGCTCCATGTAAGGTCACAGGTATTGGTTCCATGAGGTTGAGGACTGTTGATGGGCGGAGGTTAACTTTGACTAATGTACGGCATGTTCCTGCTTTAGGAAAGAATCTGATTTCATTGGGTACCCTGGATGAATTGGGGTACAATGGTGTGTTTTCAGATGGGGAGTTGTGTATTTTCAGAGGTTCTGAGTTGGTACTTAAGGGTATCAAAAGGAACACCCTCTATGTTTTTGAGGGTGTTACACTGCCTAGTTCTGCGGTTTGCGCATCTGTATCTCACCAGGAGATGACTAAGATTTGGCACATGAGGCTTGGTCATATGGGGGAGAAGGGGATGCAGCTATTGTCCAAGAGGGGTCTTCTATCCGGGGTCAAGGTTGCCAACCTTGAATTTTGTGAGCATTGTGTGTTTGGTAAGAAACACAGGTCAAAGTTCAGCAAGGGTGCTCACATTACTGATGCAGTGCTCGATTACATCCATTCAGATTGCTGGGGTCCATCTAGAGTTGAAGGTATGGGAGGTTACCACTATTTTGTGTCATTTGTTGATGACAAGTCCCGATACACATGGCTTAGGTTGCTTAAGTCAAAGGATGAGGCCTTCAAAGTTTTCAAGCAATGGAAAGCTTTGGTGGAAAATCGACAAGGAAGGAAGATTAAGAAGCTACGAACGGACAATGGGCTAGAGTTTTGCAAAGACGAGTTTAATCAGTTCTGTGCAGATGAGGGTATAGGTCGGCATCATACTGTCAGGAAGACACCACAGCAGAACGGTGTAGCAGAACGGGTTAATCAGACACTGCTAGAGAGAGTTCGATGCATGCTCTCTAATGCAGGGCTTGGGAGGAGGTACTGGAGTGAAGCTGTGTTAACAGCTTGTTATGTCATTAATAGGGGTCCTCATTCTGGAATTGATTCCAAAATTCCGTTTGAGATCTGGAGTGGTAAGTTGCCTAATTTTTCGAATTTGAAGATTTTTGGTTGTGTTGCTTATTATCATGTTATTGAGGGTAAGCTGGATCCACGAGCCAAGAAGGGGTGTTTTGTTGGGTACGGGGATGGTGTGAAGGGGTTTAGAATTTTTTCACCTTCGGAGGGTCGGGTCATTCTTAGTAGGGATGTTACTTTCGATGAAAACACCATGTATTCAATTAAAAATGCAGAGATTTCAGATTTGAGAAGGGAAGGAGACAATTTATTACAGACAGATGGGGTACTTGAGGTACATCAGTCTACCATTGCTGATTTACCTCGGGTACAATATATTGATGATGATGCTGATGTTCCAGTGCCGGGTACTCCTGAACCTGAGATTAC